TTGACTAAGAATTTTGCGAAACCGGCACCTTACTGTTGTTCAAGCAATTCAGCAGCTCCAGTAAGTTTGCGGAACATTTCGGAACGCACTGCTCGAAGAAGATTAAGAGGATCAGAATCAGGTTCAGAACACACGGAGTTGCACGGCTCGCATTTGCTCGAGAACAGCCGTTGGTCTTTGGAAGATTGGTCTGCTGTAAGTTTTATGATGAGTGCAGATTTGCTCTACGATCTCCAGATGGGCGAGAAAGAGTTTGAAGAAGGCGAAATGAAAGGTACGAAGCCTGTTATAGAGCGACCTTTTCAACGTAGCTCAGTGATGGTGTGGGCGGGAATTTCAATGGAGAATCGCACAGAGTTGGTTGTTGTTCGTGAAGGTTCTTTGACGGCCACTCGCTATGTGGATGAAATTTTCGAACATCATGCGTTGCCTATCCTCGATGAAATCAGCTACAATCCTATTCTAATGCATAATGCTTGATAATGCCCGTCCACATGACGCTCGCATAGCACCATCCTACCTTCAACAGCATAACATCAAGGTCTTAGTCTGGCCAGCCCGTTCTCCAGACTCGAACCCCTCGAAGATTTATTGGATCACCTCAAAAGACGAATAAGACCAAGTCCATCACTTCCTGATTCACTCCACGATCTTGAAAGGACTCTTCGTAAAGAATGGGCTACCATCCATCAAAGGGAATTTCCAGGCTGATAGAAAGTATGCCGAGGCGTCTTTGAGATGTAATTAAGGCAAGAGGAGGAAATACGTGATTATTTTTAGTTTTAAAAATCTAAAACAAATTTAAGACAAATTTTAACTGTCCGTCTTTTTTTCATTTTCCTTAGCAATTTACTATTTTTTTTTCAACTTTTTTAGACTGAATTATTAAACGTCAAAAAACGTAAAATTTTGATTAATATATAAAAATATATACAAATCAAGTTATATTACAAGTGGGCGGAATTTTTTGCCTGCTAGTGTATATCATTGATTGCTACTCCGTTTCTGTCCTACTCCGTGCATATTAAAAAAGTGGAAGTTTTTAAAACATAAAAAGCCCTATAGCGGCAGATAGGAGCGCAAAGGGTGGATGGGGAAAAATAAATAAATAAAAAAAAACCCCACCAACAATCGATAAATGGAGTCGGATGGGGAAGAAAAAGAGATCAAGTGTTTAGATATCGTACGTCCCGACGTTTCGGATCTCTTGGAGCCATCGTCATAAATTGATGAGGATTTTGAAAAAGGCGTATTTAAACCACGGGAGGAATTATAAATTTCCAGGATTACTCTCTTCAACGCACACTAACAAAAGAGCGCTCAATAGTGTGTATATATGTATGGTTTTTTTCCGTCAAATTACCCCTTTTTAATTTGAAATTGACCCTATTTAACTTCACATTAACTTTTTAATTTTATAATTAACGTTTTTTTAACTTCAAATTGTCCCTTTTTAACGTAAAATTAGCCCTTTTTAACTTCAATTTAAGCCTTTTTAATGTCAAATTAATTCTAATTTACCCTTTCTTTAAAACGCCAAAAAACATGGCGTATGAACTGTAATGTAAAGTGAAATTCCTGTTTTTCATTAAAAAAAAGAAAAAAGCGTCTCTTAGAAGACATAAAAATGATTTACAATTAAAATGAAAAAATATATAAAATTAAATATAAAAAAATAAAATTTAATATCTGGATTATAAAAACTTTTTATGCTTTTCCAACTTTTTATTTTTTACGTAGATGCATTCCAGGCTTTTTCCGCCTCCTCCTCCGTGCACTCTCACACAAGTCGTCTGTTGACACTCAAAATAAAAATGCATTGAGGAGGAGGCGGAAAGCGCCTCGTATGAAAGCCTAAAAGTTGGAAAAGCTTACAAAGTTTTTATAATCCATAATCTCATCCATATCCAACAAAAAGAAAATCAAGATCAAAAATTAATATAATTGGACATTTAAAAACCATAATATGTCTCATTTCTTAAATTAAAAGAAGAATCATTTATTCTTTTATATAATTTTAAATTTTAAATTAACCCTTTTTATTTTCAAATGACCTTTTTATAATTTTAAATTAACGCTTTTTAAACTTTTAACTGCAAATTAGCCACTTTTAATTTCATATTTTAAACCCATTCATTAAATCATAAAAAAAGCTTAGAAATAGTATGAAATATGAGCATTTAAAAGAAACTTTAAAGCATTAAAAAAAGCTTCGGAATGGTGAGAAATATAAGGATTTTAAGAAAAAATTCTGTATAGCTTTTTAACTTCAAATTAACCCCTTAATTATGTCAAATGAATATCAGATTAGCCCTTTTCTTTAAAAAGGAAAAAATTGAAAAAAGGGGTTGGTAGTAAAATTCGTCCATTTAAAAAAAAAGGCTCGTAGATCACATTATATAGAATAAATGAGCTCTTAAAAAACATTTATAAACGTCTTTTTAAGTGTTTAAAGAAAGGGTTAATTTGAAGGTTACAAATGATTAATTGAATGTTAAAAATGGTTAATTTGAAATTTAAAAAATTAATTTGGTACGAAAAAGGGTTAATTTGTCGGAAAAATGCTATGTACCCCTGAAGAACTCCGAAATGTCTGAAAATACAGTGTGGAATATATGAAAAAACTGATCTCTTTTACTTCCCTAGCCGATTCCTCGGTTAAAATTCCACAGAAATTGAATCCACGACCGACAAAAACAAAAACGACAATAAGTTTACCATTAACAAGCAATCGTTATTGATTCTCGGTCAACAAATCGCTTTACAGGGAGAAAATAAAAGAACAAAATTGAACTAATATGAAATTCTGGCTTTTCTAATTTTTTTTTTCATAACCCCTGTGGGTTTGTTCCAAATTCAACGTTAAGACAACCGCTGGAAAGCTGAATTATTATACTTTAAGGCTATGCAAACAATAGATTTTGTCATTATAACTGACAAAAAAAGGACGAAATCGAAAAAAAGTTGTTTTATTATTTTATTCCCGGTTCTAAAATATTTATGGAGACGGTTTTTGCCATTACGCGGGGTTTATATGGCACTAATACTCTGTAACGCAACCAAGTAGATCGGTAGAGTCGATTCAAAGTTATCATTTTTTTTGTGATTTTCAAAAAACTCGAAGGGCATGGTAGAAGGCAAAAACTTGATAAAAAAAGTTGTTTTGATTTTCCCCAAAATTTGTATTCAGCAGTTTTTTGGGTCTAGAAAACGAATATCAGCTTTGTTTCTTGCTAAAAAAATATTTCAACATGATTTCCTCAGTCTCTCGGTCACAAAATGATTATATATTGTATATCAATGTATAAGAATTTTCCCGGTGATTGATTTTTTTGAATTTTTTGCAAATTAAGTTGAATTTTTTTTAAAAAGAAGAACCAATGTTGATATTTGTTTTTCACACCCGGAAAAACCCGTCGACTCGAAGTAACATGAAATAGACGCACATCAAAGGCAGAAATATTTAAATTAATTGGATTTTTTTCCCGGCTTCTACGTCCCATTGGCAAGAACACTCGGACGCGCGTCTAGTATTTTTCGGTCTAATTTCACCAGAAAAATTTAAATTAAAATCGATGACTCCAGGTTCGAAGTTTAACTTAAAATCACTTAGCAGGAGGCCGGAAACACCTGGAAATTTGAATACTGCCCAATACTATGACCGTCATTTCAAATATATAATTAGCAATTTCAACTATTTTTCCATTTTTAAAAAATAGGAAATTCGCCTTTTTTGTCCCTTTCATTTAACTGAAACAGGATTTTGATCAATTGTACGTTTTCATATGGGAAAAGAGCAGACACATTTCTTTACTAACTGCATACAGGAAAGAAAATTTATTGCGCTTAATCGGGCTTAATTATTTTACAACGGGGTCATTTTAGTCGATGCATGAGTTTAAAAAAAAAAAATTGGCTTTCCAGGTTTTATCTCGATAAAATTTTTCCAATGTAACGCCAATGCCGATGTATGCCGTCAATTTTGAAATCTAAGGACCGTGAATTTACTTAGGACTTTACATTTTCTTTAATTCTTTTACAACGTTGTAACGCACAATTTGTTAAATTTGTCCAACCAGCGTGAAACGTTTACAGTTTTGTAAGGTTCGTAATGCACAATTTTAAATCATTTAAATTCATAAAAATGTTATCTTCAAAACCGGGACCAGCTCGAAGTGAAGTACAATAGTCCAACCAGCGAAGCCGGTACTCTTCATCCAGCTGGCCGTCGGCTGAAAAATTAACCGGAATCGATTTGCACCCCTGACGAGATTACAAGAGAGAGAGAAAAAAACTAAAAAAAAGAAAAAACTGTCACAGTGTCGGTCGCATCATCCTAGTATCAAAACGGATCTGGGTGGGCTCGAAACCTTTCCTCCCAGCCGTTCAACCAAGAAAAACCCCTCGGGAGAACAATGAAGGGCACTAAAATATTTATCGCCTGCCGAGTAAATTCGAAGAAAGCTCGTATTTTGTCGAAAAGGATTTTAGATTTTAAAACGAAGCTTTTACTGAGACCTGGATGTCTTTCCCAGTAAACGGAGCTATACTTAAACAAAATAAAATTCTAATAATATATGTTAGAAATGGACGGAATAAGTAGAAGAAAAAGAAGAAGAAGTTTGAATGAATGGAATACATACTTACAATGTGGAATTGGAAGAACAAAAATTGAGGAAATCAACTAAAACGGGTAAAAAAAGTGTAGAGGCAATAATAAAAAATAATAATAAATAATAATGATGGTAAGAATAATAATGGTAATGGTCTAAGAATGGAGTGGTGAATGATTAAATGAGGAAGGCGAGTGGTCGTCGGAGTGACTGGTGGGTAGTTGGCGGGCGGATCGGCGGAGCGCGCTGCGTCGCCGTGGAGGGGATGGAGGCGTCGCCGACTCTCGCTCGGCCATGGCCGTCTCCATGGAAACGTTGGCCGGATTGGCGGGTCGGGGCGGTGGTGGGGATGGCCTCCCCCCCTCTTTCAACTTTGGCTCCATTTGCTATTTCATGACGGCAAAGTTTGGTTGTACTTCAGTTTGATCATGGAAAGCTAAATAGTGTGTCCCCCTTGTTAGCCAAACAGCCATCCGCGCGGAGCCGTGTTTGTTTTTTCAATAAAAGTGTCTGCCCGTACCTGTTGCTAAACCGCCCTCCGACTGCAGTGATTATGACTATGCTATCTCAGAAACTTTACTCGGACACTGTGAGCAGTTCAATGAGTAGCGTGAACACGATGAGCCCGACGATGACACAGAGTTACTCTTTAAACAGCATGAGTTGCGTCTCTATGAACTCATGCTCGCCGCAGAGTGGAGGATTCCCGACGAATATGCTGGGACCCCCTGGAGCCGGGATGGGCTCGATGCCGATGAACGGGAACTGCATGTCGTCCAGTGCCATGAGCTACGGGAACATGAATCCGGTGAGCAGTTGTATGAACTCCCTGAACAACTATAATTCTGGGATTCAGGCTATGGGCATGGGCCGAGGGGATCTGCTCGCGGCCGACGCGGCCGGCTCATCCAACTCGGCGGTCGTCCTCCAGAGGGCCAGGAACGACAAGACGTACAGGAGGAGTTACACGCACGCGAAACCGGCCTACTCTTACATATCCCTCATCACGATGGCCATACAGAATTCCCCTTCGAAAATGTTGACCCTGTCGGAGATCTACCAGTTCATAATGGACTTGTTTCCGTTTTACCGGCAGAACCAGCAGAGGTGGCAGAATTCGATAAGGCACTCGTTGTCTTTCAACGACTGTTTCGTCAAAGTGCCGAGGACCCCCGACAAGCCGGGCAAAGGATCATTCTGGACGTTGCATCCCGATTCGGGGAACATGTTCGAAAACGGATGCTACCTGCGGAGGCAGAAAAGATTCAAAGACGAGAAGAAAGAAGCCGCGAGGCAGTCTCATAAAAGTGTATCGCCCCATCATCACCACTCTCATCACGGCCATCACCACGATGATAAAAAGAGCCAGGACAAATTGGACAAGACCGATCTGAGCGCTTTGCAAGGGAGCATGCCCGGCAAGGATACGGATATAGCCACGCTCTTACACCAGAACGGACCCGAATTGTGCCTCCAACAACCTCAAGACGAACTCCTCGGGAGGTGTCATCCCCATCTGGGACTGTCAGAACATTACAACCAGCACCATTTGAAACAGGAGTACACAGCGGCGTCTCACCCCTTTTCCATAACGAGGCTTTTACCGACGGAAAGCAAGGCGGACATCAAAATGTACGACATGTCGCAGTACGGATACAACGACGCCTACTACCAGAGTACCATCTACCACCCGACGACGCCGGGAACTACCGCTTTGTGACAGTACCCTCTCACAGGGTAAGCGCCTTATTTCCGTCTGAAATTTGTAATTAGAATCAATTCCAAAACCCTTGCCTACAATCGCTTCCAGTTGTATATATACTGATTATCAGTCATTCATTTCTTTTTTCCAACATGTCAAAAAAAAAAAAAATTCAAATGGAAAAAATGCAAAATTTTTCTTTTTATACAGAAATTTTGTTGTAGGCAAGGGCAATTCTCGAGACGATTTTCATCCCGTTTTGCCAGCTGTGAAGATTCACATCGGGATTTTAAAGGACGTAATTGTGTAATTTGAGTGTAAATATATACAAAAGAATTAATTATTAGCGTGTAGATACGTGTTGCATCCACGTCTGCCAAAAAGTAAAAAAAATAATAAATGGAAAAAGAACTTATTGTATATTTTATCAGATTTAGTTTTTAGATAAGGGGGACCCAGTCATTTATGGTTTACACCCGTTTCTGTTTTATATTTTCTTTTTTCGAACTTTTTAGGTTTTTTGTTTGTTGTTTGTACATTGCCCAAAATATAAGTTAAAAAATATATATATTCTGTTTTCAAAAAATTATTTAATTTTTTTCAATTTTATTTAACACGACTGTATGGCTTTTGAGAAAAAAAACAGAGTCCAAAGAATCGAATTCAAACGGTTCTGTCTATGGAAATTAAGTGATTTTTAATACATATTTTTATTTTTGTTTTTTCAATATTATTATTGTTTAAATTATATAATAGATTTATTTTTTTTGTTCTTATAAATTCCATTACGATTTCTATTTAAATGACGGTTGTACATAAACACTTAGAGCGAATCTCTTAAATCTTTGAGAATTTAACTAAATCTAGTTATTTTGAAATGTAATAAAAAATATATATATTAAAATTAAAAATTAAAAAAAAATAAGTTGATCATGCACGAGCGGTTGTGAACTCTCTAAACTTTAAACTAGATTAGAAACTGATAATAGTTCAAACACAATTTGTGTGTATGTCGCGACCGCTGTGCACGTGGAAAGATTGACAAATAGTTGTTATTATTATAGATATCCCGATGGTTTTTGTTAATCACGACATATAGAATTTTTTATAACAATAGTCATTTTACACTGTTTTTTTCCATTCAACATTTTAAGACCCTTAAATGTTATCGCCAAATGTGATGAGGCTTATTGTATAAATCTCGAGGTTCGACATTTATTATTTTCAATTATCCAATAATAATGGACTTGAGCAAGTTTTTGTTTCTGTTTTAAAGACTTGTGCACGTTTTTTAGCTATACAACGAAGCTTTTTCTGTACTGAAGTTTTTGTAAACTGGGCCGGGTTTAAGCAAAAAAAAAAAAAAAAAACTTTTGGGCTTTCTTATAATAATTTATTTCTTGTTCTCATTTCTAATAAATTTAAACAAAAACAAGCTGTTGTAAAAAAAGTAAAATAAAATAAACAAACAGATAAACAATAAAAAGTACAACGGCTTTTATTTTAAAACGAGTGTATGAACTTGATAATTGCACACTCGTCATGTTATTGTTTGAAAATGCAAAACAAATAAAAAAAGAAAATACAATAAATACGATTATTCAGAGTTAAGCAGTGTACAAAAGCGATATAATCGGGCAATAGAATAAATATAATCTCAAAATAAAATATACCCATGGTATAACTGTAAATTTTGATGTGTAGTCATATGAAAGTAAATATACATTGTTTATATATAAATAAACCCACATTTGTAAATAAATTTGGTTAATTAACTTAGTGAATGTAACTATCTATAGTCGTTTTGTCAAGAAGAGTTACCTATAATTAATTTCAGTAAATTGATTGTTTATTGTATTAACAAGATGGTTTTTTATCAGCCTTCGTCCAAATCACCCTTTTTTCCCATTTGAGCAACTTTCTTTCCTTGGTTTGAAGGAGTGAAACCATTTCATTACAGGTTCGATTCCATTTAAGAGAGACTTTAACGAGCGTTAACAAAGGTTTACGGCCGAAAACAACTTTAAGACAGCAAGTAAATAAAAATATATATTAATTTTACGATGGCAGAATCGGTGCATTTATCGGTGAAGAGTGTTGAAATAATAATAATAAAAAAACTTTTGGGTTATGAAAAAAGTATCCGTAGCTTTTGGATATTGGCTCGGTGTGGTCATTCCTTGTGGAATAAAAACAAAAATCAACTTCCTCCAGGGAAAAATAGCAGGGAGAAAAATACAAAATAAAACTATGTTTTAGGGATATGAGTTTAGTTTCTTTAATAAACGGAAATTAGTAGAAAAGTTTAAACAGTAAGCGTCATACTTGATACAAAATAAGTAAAAAGGGAAGAAATGAACCCGGGGAAAGTTATTGCGATAGAGGTTTAAAAAATAATCGAGTTTTTTTTCATTAATCAATATAAATAATAAAAAAACGACAAATCTCCTTACTGAACCTCCTCGAGTATTTGCTATAAAAAATTCCCATTTGGTATTTTCCAACGCGCTATCGGCCTGGAATTGGAAATTGTGCATGGTTTTCCATGGGATCTTTGTAATGACATGGTTTCAGTTAATTTTCAATATCCAGTATAAAAAATAGGCTTTCAGGTCATTGTTTTTGAGGATATTTTTTTAAAAATTACTTTGCCTAAGCTGTTTTGAACATGAGATACAAATTTAATATGAATATTTTTTTTTGAACATTTCTTAATTTGCATTGTATTTGTGCATTTTATAGATAACAGAATAGATTTTCATTTGATTCCAGTTCGTTTTTTTTTTTGTTTGTTTTTTACTTAAAAACAGTGAACATATTCTGAAAGCTTTTTTTATTTATTCCAGATTTTAATTCAGTTTCAGTAAGTGTTAAGAAAAGTAATAATAATAATAAAAACAGTTTTGAATGGGGTAAAAGAAAATTTTCAAAACCGTCGAAACTGTTTTTTTCCATTTTTCATCTTAAGCTATATTGATTTTTTTTACACTTGTCTGGAGAACATGAATTAACAGTAGTTATTTAATGTAGTCCCTTTGAAGATTGACCACTCGAAGGGTACAGCGGCCTGCCAATTAAGGTAAGTGGGTTCGATTTTTAATCTAGACAAGAAAAATAGATTAATAGATGTAGATTTGTAATTGAATTGTGGTAATTTGATGGCTTTTTAGAATATTTTTGAATTATTCTGTTTTTAAGGCCTATTATAAAATTGAGACAAAGAAAACTTTTCTGACATTAACTCCCTTTTGGGGGAAATTTGTAAAATTACTGCTTTTTTTCTCGATTTTAATCGGTTCAACGTCCATTAATCAAAACAATTTAGTCAGACGACAGTTTTGTCAAGTGTTAAAAATTACCACGGTGGTGCATTTTTCGATTCACCGAAGGAAAAACAATTCTCCTATTTGCTCATTGAAACGTTTTTCTTGGCACTGAAAGAATGGAATTCTAAATTTGCAAAGTAAAAGTGTTAAAATTGAAAAGTGCATTTTTTAAAGTTCGGTAAAACAAACCGGCCTTCGAAGACATCTTCAGACAAAATCATTTTTTTCCTAAGACTCGTCGAGTTCAACCTCGCAAAAAAAGCATTTTTTTATGTAAGTAAAAGTATTTGCTTTCTTTGTGGATCTGCCCTTTACATACGACACGGTCCAGACATCTCCTGTATAAATTAGAAAATCTGGGAATTTTGTATAAAATGATACGCGCTATAGAACAGCCGATGTCAGAAAGAACGGTCTCTGTGAGGTGCAGGAAAGGGAGAAGCGCAGGGATGTCTACTAGGCCCCTTGCTATTCTCGCTCTTTCCGAATGATCTAGAGGACTTTATGGGTGAAGGTGGTGGAAAAGTGTTTTTAATTTAGAAAAGTTCTTGCCATGCCACATTTCTATAGTTTTAAAACTAAAAAAACAAAATTAGAATTAAATTCTTTCAAACGTTTACCAAGAAATTAGGTTTTAATTAGAACACGAAGAAAATTGTACCAGATGATTTATACGAATTAGATAAATTGCCAAGTGATTTGTTTTTCTTATGGAGCATCGAAAAATTCACTACCCTGTATATTTTACACACAACCGTTAAAATCATTTAATAATTTTACAAGCCTGATATACTTAAAAATATTATTTTTTAACTTATTTCAGAGTAACTTTATCAGTGATAAACTTATTTCAATTCTTCTTGCCCTGAGGGAACGACAATAAAAAATCTTTATTAGGACAAATAACTAGTGAACTTTTCCAACCAATATTTTATTGATGCCAATTATGCCAATTACTACTCCTCTTGTTTTTTTTTTTTGGCATATTGTCTCTTCTTTGCTGATAGATTTTGGACAAATAACTAGGAAACTTTTCCAACCAATTTTTTATTGATGTCAATTAATACTTCTCTTCCTGTTTTGGTAAATTGTCTCTTCTTTGATGATAGATTTTGGACAAATAATTAGTGAACTTTTCCAACCAATATTTTATTGATGCCAATTATGCCAATTACTACTCCTCTTGTTTTTTTTTTGGCATATTGTCTCTTCTTTGCTGATAGATTTTGGACAAATAACTAGGAAACTTTTCCAACCAATTTTTTATTGATGTCAATTAATACTTCTCTTCCTGTTTTGGTAAATTGTCTCTTCTTTGATGATAGATTTTGGAGAAATAACTGGTAAATTTTTCCAACCAATTTTTTATTGATGCTAATAAATCTTTCTCTTCCTGTTTTGGTAAATTGTCTATTCTTTGTTGATAGATTTTGGAGAAATAACTGGTAAATTTTTCCAACCAATTTTTTATTGATGCTAATAAATCTTTCTCTTCCTGTTTTGGTAAATTGTCTATTCTTTGTTGATAGATTTTGGAAAAATAACTTAGAGACTTTTTCCAACCAATTTTTTATTGATGCCAATTAGTACTCCTTTTCCTTTTTTTAAATTTGTCTTCTTAGATGATAGATTTTTGACAAATATCTAGTGAACTTTTTCGAGCTATTTTTTATTGATGTCAATTACTACTTGTCTTCCTTTTTTTGTTAAATTGCCTCTTCTTCGAAGATAGATTTTGGACAAATAACTAGTGAGCCGTTTTCAACTAATTTTTTTATTAATGCCACATAAAGTAAAATCATAATTTTTGGCATAAAGAATTATTTGCCCAAATCTATTACCCTAAAGGTTATTGGATGTTAAGACGTTCTGACAGGAATCTACTTTTTATGAAGACAAATGTTCAATCGATCCTTACAGAGTCGGACTAATTTAAGCGAATTTAAAGCGCGGAGAATTAAAGAAAATTTTCTCAGACAGGTTGGTACGCTTATAAAAAAAACTTTTGAAAAATGCGTCCAATTCTAGGGCTTGAAGCGCCATAACGTTCATCAACAATGAAAAACATATAAAACTTTATTTCTAGAGATACTTCTGAGAAACCAATTTAAAAATTTAAAGCTGAGAAAGTCAAAGTTTGCTGAAAACACTAGGACAGCGTACTGGATAAATATTGAAGGTAAGTTGAACAACCAAATCATTCCATATAATTTT